TCCTCTGCGGCGTAATGAATCCTGCCATCCGTTTGTAATCTGAGCACACGGCATTTTATAGCCACTGCTAACTGTGCAGTTTTTTAACTTAATTTTTTTTTATCTGAATTTTGTTATATTTGTGGTTACAGATCTAATCATTCAATTATATATTTTCGGTTTTAGCTTTCACATTTTTTTTAATCAGTCACAGGTTCAGATTCTGCCCGCTCTGTAGCTCTCATGTTCAGCGGTGGCTGAGGTAGCGCTAGCACGAACGTTCCAAACATAATGATAATCATCTCAAGCACAGCTAGTGTCTGGGAAGCCTGCAATCATGGGGACTTCTCTAGCTCGGTTTGCAGTGAATCAGCATCTGAAACCATTCAAGGTTTGACCTAACTCGCTCATCACTGCTTCGCTGCAGAAGTAATTACTGTTCACCTTGGAATTACTTCAGTACGCATCTGACTTCAGCAACTTTGCCTAGTTGCTCTGATGTGTCAGTCACGTGACGTCTCATGTCTGGTGTCGTTCTGAATTGGTGTATAGGAGGGAGGCCAGACTACACATAGCCATCCCACACATAATGAGACGACACCACTCACACTCAGGCAGTGGTACCCAGCTTCTCTGGTCCCACAGACAACTGTCAACTCTCAAACGCATTTCACGGACCACCATGCACCTGTAGCATATCAAATAATGTTTATGTCAGTAACCGATGCCGCAATCATCTGGTTCACACGATAGCCAGCTAGCTGTGTTTATGACTAAAAAATAAAATCTAAATAGTTGCATGATGGGCAATAAAAAACAATATCTGGTGTTTTATAAAAAAAAAAAAATCCTGAGTATCTGTAACGGTTCCACGGACCACTTCCCACGGCCTTGCAAACCACCATTGGTCCCCAGACCAGTTTGTAAATGACTGCTCTCAGGTAATGCACAGATGGGTATAGCAACCTACATTTTTTATTGCCCTCTCACCCACCCGCAGCCCGGCAGATTAGGGATTTTCACAAATCTGCACGATGACTCCTAAGCGATTGATGACGACGCACACATGGCTGCAACTATGCAGTCGTGCGGTGAAGCGCGCAGGTGTGCGTGGAGCGCGCAGGTGTGCGTGGAGCGCGCAGGTGCGCGTAGGTGCGGGTGGAGCGCGCAGGTGCGGGTGGAGCGCGCAGGTGCGTGTAGGTGCGAGTGGAGCGCGCAGGTGCGCGTCGAGTCCGCAGGAGCGCGTAGGTGCGGGTGGAGCGCGCAGGTGTGGGTGGAGCGCGCAGGTGTGGGTGGATCGGCAGCGTTTGAAGCCACAGCGCTTCTCGCGCGCTGGCCCGGCGCCAGCAGCGCACACGGTGACAACGCATCTGCCATCGCCCGCTGAGTCGAGTGTGGAATGGCACAGTATCTGGCCGCCGATGATGGAGTGCCGTGCGCTGATAAGACGCTGCAAGCCAGAGTTACGGGGACACGCAAGGGCAGTGAAAGGCAATTACGCTTGGGATTCCAAATATTGTGCTTCACAGCGTCTGGGGCATAAAGCGTCACGCATTGCGAACTGCAACTCATCCCTGTTAGGGTTTTATTGCAGCAGTTCTGGTGGGGTTTACAGTGGGTTGCACACTGAATATAATAATTTTCTTCTTGTGCAAGTTTGTTCAATGGGCAAAAATTAAATTTGGGCTTGTAAATTAATCAAGCAGTTTTCCTTTTTGTGTTTGGCATCATCGTGCTTTTATGTAATCGTAAAAAAAGAGTACACGATAAAAGCATTTTATAGGAAAGTACTTTAACATAACAGCGTGGATGCGTCACAAACTCAACAAAACGCATTACAGTGAAATCTATTATCTGAAAAGAACTGCTTAAAAATTTGACTTAAATTCACGAGCATTTACACATGTGCAGGCTTCGACATGTACATGTCGAAGGGTCAGCTGATGCTCACTGCCGTTTATCCTCTACATCATTGTATGTGTGTATTTATCGTTGTGTGTGTGTATCGTTGTATGTGTGTATGTATCATATGTGTGGATGTATTATTGTGTGTGTGTATCGTATGTGTGTATGTATTGTCGTATATCGTGTGTGTGTATCATTGTATGTGTATGTATTGTTGTATGTATAGTTGTATGTGTGTGTATAGTTGTATGCGTGTGAATAGTTGTATGTGTGTACCGTTGTATGTGTATGCATTGTATGTATAGTTGTATGTGTGTGTGTATCGTATGTGTGTGTGTGTATAGTTGTATGTGTGTATGTATAGTTTTATGTGTGTATGTATAGTTGTATGTGTGTGTATAGTTGTATGTGTTTGTGTATCGTATGTGTGTGTATTGTTGTATGTATAGTTGTATGTGTGTGTATAGTTGTATGTGTGTATAGTTGTATGTGTGTGTGTATAGTTGTATGTCTGTGTATCGTATGTGTGTGTGTATTGTTGTATGTATAGTTGTATGTGTGTGTATAATTGTATGTGTGTGTGTTTAGTTGTATGTGTGTGTGTGTATCGTATGTGTGTGTGTATCGTATGTGTGTGTGTGTCGTATGTGTATGTATGTGTATGTATTGTATGTATAGTTGTATGTGTGTGTATCGTATGTGTATGTATTGTTGTATGTGTGTATGTATCGTTCAATGTATGTTGAACTTCTTTCGTATAGGAATAGAAACTATTGTGCAGAGTGCAGGTTGTCGTGTGCGGTGTTCTGAGAAGCGCCGGTATGGGATACCAGCACAGTTCCACCGCTGTGCATGTGTTTCTATTGACACTTGGTAAATGGGTTCTCATTCTGCTTGTCTGTTTCCCTATGATGTATCACATACTACATCTGAGAGTATCATCTGTTGCAGATAACCAGGTAATGGACTAATTCGGGTTATCGTAAACCCCCGCAAAAATGTGCAATCTGAATGGAATTAATTCCACTTGTGTGCCACTGCCATGTGTGACCCGTTTGCTGGGAAGGGCAGTTTTGAAGTCCAGCGAGGGTCCTGCTGCTCTCACCCTGCTCCTGAGGTTAAGGGAGACGCCTGACCTTCGTGATCTTGGGAGGACCTCGCTCCATTCAGTGAAGAGACATCATTCTTCTGGACATATCATGGCCCATTACAAGTGTGGCTCTTCTATTAGGAGCATTGTCCATCAGGTTTTGCAAACCGTATTGCGAATGCAATTTTCATTAATTTGCTGAGGCAAAGTTTAATGATGATGATGATGAAAGTTAAATATGGAACAAAAATTATACTGGCTTCTACAGGTGACTGAAGTGCAGTGTAGTCAGTATTTAGATATTATCTTTTGTAATGTACATGCATTATCTGAGTGTATATGATGCATAGCTTATTTGCAATGAGCCAAGCTGCACATGCTGTGTTTAAGTTGTTATGGATATATACTGAAGCATGGTCCCTCCTTTGCCAGTACCAAAATATGAGAATAGGTTTTCCCATTTTTTTCTGGCAACAAAACAGGTGTTAAGATGTTAAAACACCAAACTGAAACCTTTTACAAGGAATCATCTCTGCATTAACCACAATACAAAAGGCGCCTTTTGGCGTCCTCTGGTCTAACACCGTTTTGAGACGAGGCTCAAAAGAAAGCTGTCTCTGGTGTGGACCAATCAGTTTCAAAGACAATGCATATATTATCAGAGTATGTGTTTTTTTTGCATTCTGACCACAAGTATTGTGGTTAATGCAGACATGATTCCATGTAAAAGGTTTCAGTTTGGTGTTTTAACATCTTAACACCTGTTTTGTTACCAGAAAAAAAGGGGAAAACCTATTCTGATATATACTGAATATTTACGGATCTGGTAAATGTGTAGTTGTCATGCATTACAGTGAAATAATAGAATGTTGGCAATCCTTGTGTTAACATGTATAATATCAACATGCTTGCAGATGAATACCTTTAGTAAGTCATTCTAAATCTGCAGCGTCCTTATTTCTTTGGCGAAGGTGCTGCGCTTAATGAATACATCGCATGCTCACGTTGTGAGAGTGGCGTCTTGCGAGCGCTGCCGGTAAGGCGCGAGATAATTCACTTTCTCGGGATTCACCTTCGACCTCTGGTGACATTTTGAAACACTTTCTAGGGGACGTGCTCCTGCCTTCCGAGCGAGCTGACCTGCTTCGCTCTTTAGAAAATAAAGTCAGAACAGGAGGACCCCCCTCCGGGCGATCAATCTGCCACACTGCTACAAAGCCAGAACAGATTCGGGCACTTGGGAGGGCCGTGATGGACGGGCGTACGCCGCTCATTGTGCCGCCGGCTAGCACCGCGGAGCACGCCGTTCACGGGCGGTCGTACCGGCGCACGGAGTATCACGAGCAAGCGTTTATGCCGCTGTGCGTGGTTGTGTGTATGCGTGCACGTGTATGTTGTTGGGAGCGGTACTGTTGCGGGTAGCGCACTGCGCTACAAACCGGGCGACTTAAGTTCGATTCCCGCTCACGGCCAACACCGATGACGATCATCTGATTCGGTCCTGGGCCTCCCCTAAGTCGACTCAGCCTCACATGAGTACCTGGCGTGGTATGTAAAACATCGCCACTGGGGAGACAAAGGCGGCCGGGTGTGGTGTTTGCCACCCACCCCCTCGTGTGCCGCACCAGCCTTCATAGGTGCTCACTAACAGCACTTGCCCCAACAGTTTGTCAAGGCTATACGGGGGACCTTTGTCTTTTGTTCAAGGCTACATGAGGGATCTTTGTCTTTGAGCTTTTGGTTGGGTCACAGCAGGTGACAGTCAAGTTGCTCAAAGCACCTTCAGCCAGTTTCATGCTGAGTGAGTGAAAATAATTTCTGTTTTCTTTTAACAAGAGTGGCTTTACATTTTTTAGAAAAGTGGGAATGTTTTCCTTTTTAGTTTTCTTTGTGTAGTGGATTCTATTATCTTTGGTTGAATTATAAAGTGCAATCGATGTTTTGTTTGTAATATAGAATTACAAATAACCAAATACTATTTCTCTAAGAGCTGCAATTAGTTACTATTTAAGGATATAAAACTCACCAGACCCCGGGCAGAGTGTTCAGTGTGTCCCTCATGGCGGTTGTCATGCCTGCAGGACGTTAGAAATGTACACTTGGCGTCGGGGCAGGCACTCCGCAGCATGCACTCCGCCCGGGAGACGCACTTCTGCGTGAAGGCACAGTGGATTCTCTGCGTCGCACACACGCGCGCGCGTGTGTGTGTTTAAATTAAAAAGCCATTACTCTTCAAAAGAGTAGGAGTGTTTCCCTCTTCAAATGAGGGTGGAACCCTGCTCATCTTCATTCACGACTCTGAGCCGGTGTTGGAAATTTCACGTTTGTTTGATGAGGGTCATTTTGTCCACAGGACCGTCAGTATAAGATAACTCTGCACAAAGTTGCACTCAGTTTATTTACCCTGTCGGAATGAAGGGCTGAGCTAACTCTGACTGGGATTTTAATTTGCAACCTTTCGTGCGCTAAACCTCTGCACTTTTAGGATGCAGCACAACTAAATTCACTCCACTTAGACACAAAACGCACTGCACACATAGACATGCGCCAGCAGATCTATACATGTGTGATGTAGTGAGAAACTATTGTAACAAGGCTCAACTTCCGATCGGAAGGTTGCGAGTTTAAATCCCAGCAGGGGTCGTCTGAGCTCTTCAACTGTCTGCTAAAAAAGTATCACGTTCTGGGTGGTTGTTCTTCATGTGCGGTTGTTTTATATGAACGCTCATTCCCACAATGTTTGAAATCACACCTGTACGTGGAGGAATAGAGGCACACTCACTGTGCAGGCCAGTTGACTACAAGAGCCGTAAGGAAACTATCACAATCAGCCCATTGTCAAGGTCCTGAATAAATTCGAATTATTTACGCTTTAAAGAACTATTACCCTTCAGTGAGAGTGACAGCATCACCCGGCCTGGCCACCCCCCTCACCACCCCTCACCCGTGTCGCCAGCTCTCACAGAAAGCCCCCACTGCTCACCTCTGCTGAATCTTGGACTTGGTTTCTCTGAGCTGCAGTATTTCTCGGTGACGGTCAAAAACCTCTTTTCGTTCTTACTCAACACATTATTCAAAGGGCAGGCTTATGGGTCTATATCCATGAAAGATTCACGTGCAGCCCTTGGGCGATCCGCTACTGGATGAAGGCCTCCCCACGCCACGTCGGTCGTGATGGTGGTTTGCCCATATTTCACCTCGCCGGTTAATACAGATTGGTCATTTGGAGGCGTAAAGATCGCTTCTCGTGTCACTGGCCGCTCATATTCGTCATAGCTGGGAATCAGGGTTCTGGGTTCGGAACGCGCTACGCTGACCACTGTACTGCCACTCTGTGCCAGTGTTGCACGTGACGTGCATAACTCGGTTGAAGCGAGAGCTAAGGCACACAGCATCATCGGGTTGGTGCTGGTTGGTCACTCAAAGCTAACCAAGGTGTCCTCATGTTCAAACAAGCACAGGGCGGTGCTCATGCACACGTATAGCAAGGGTCGGTCTCTATAAGAATTTTCTACCACTACTGTTTGTGGATCTAACAAAGACAAGTCTAATTATTAATGATGTAACATTATTTTGTTTCATAATGAGATCGGTGGCCTGTGCCCAAATACAGCATTGGTTATTTGTGTTATGGCACGGATTTAATAACGATGATGATGATGATTTGGCTTTGAGCTGACGGTGACCGATGCACCAAATGGACGTGCTCACACTTGTGGCTTGACACACAGCCGGAACTAAGGGGGCTCATGGAACGGCCTCGTACCCCTTGAGCTCCACGATTTGCAGTGTAGTTAAAAAAAACCCCATGTAGAAAATACGTTTAAAATAAGAACATATATTAGAGCACGTGAGTGTGTATGTGTGTGTGACATGAGCCATGTGTTTAAGAGCAACCCTTTCATCAGTGCCGCTCTAACACGCGGCGCTTTTGTGTAAAGTTAGCGACACGAGATTGCCTCGAATTATTGTTCATAATTTACGTGCTCGGCTGTCGTGGGGAGGTGGGGTGGTCTGCATCTTCTACGGCCGATAAATCTGCAGCTTGACCGTCTTTCTCACCCGCGCAGTAATCGCGGCCCGAGGCTGCTCGTTCTAACTCGGCGATCAGTGCCGGCATCTCGGCAGCTGTGTCCCACCCCTCTCGTTTCCCATGCCGTGATCTGTGCAATCGATCCCAGTGGCATAGGTTAAACTCAGCTCAAGCCTAATCCGAGAAGAAATACCCAGTGTTGTTCAGTAGCCCACGATGCCAGCTCTGCAGTATGCTGCTGTCACTCTGATGCTGCGAGGTTGTCTTAGAAATCAGAACCTGTGCATTTGGCTAAGTGTGCTATGCTACACATCCCAGCTCTGGTTAAGTTCACAGTACAGGATGTCAATATCATACAGAAACCGACACAGTTATTCGGGTTGTGCACGGGAATACTCCGTTTAACGAGGCAAGAAATATTTCTTCAAACCCTGGACATGCTGGCAAGCCAAATTCCTTATCAAGGGATTATCCAGGTAAAATATTTGCATAAAAATGGGCATTTAGCAGACATGAATCTGAATCTGGCCAAAATTATACTCTGCCGCTGACAATTGCCTCATCGCATTGTCCCGTTAGGCTGACAAGAACAGCCAAGTGCATCCACGCACACGTAGCGATTGGGCCGATGGGGTCCGCGTAGCTCATCGTAAGCAGCACACTAAACTAATTAGTGTGGGTTTCGTCATTTAATTGAGGCAATTTTCTAATTAAGGATTTAAGCCACAGCCGCTGCACACAGTGGTGCACTCTTGTATCCACGTGTACCCATCGTGCGCACAAGGCATAGCACAGATGCGCAACGTGAAATATTCCCCCGTGCTGGAATAACAACACGGGGACACCAACACACGCAGAAACGGTGACCCCACGACTCACGGACGCCGAGACCCTCGTGCCCGCAGCACGTTAACAGCGTAGGTGCTGCACCCCTTGAGGTGAACGCCTGTGGCAGCAACAGTGGGAGAGGTGAAGCGAGCGGCAATCCTGCCGGAGCGCTAATCGGGACGGCTGACAGCAGCCGACAGCAGTAAGGCAGCACCTCCTTGAGCCTGTACCGCTCGAAACCGCAAAACAAGATAGGCGCCTGCTTCTTGCACCTCGTCCTCACAGCATTCCTGCTCCTGCTAAATCTGGCACCGCCGCTCAAGAGGCGGACACGGCATGGCTGCGGAGCACCAGTGACTCCCCGGCGTGCCGCTGAGCGGAGGTTTGAGCGATTTGAAGTGCTACGCGAGGACACTCGGTGGTGCCGTTTTACGAAATCCGGAGGATGGGGAGCTGGGTCAATCCAGAAGAGGATTTCATCTCCAAATATTACGGTCGTGAGCCAATCGCTTACACCGTGAACCGCTTGGATTATTACCATTCGGTGGCAATTTTTTATTTATTTGGATCCACTTACCCTGCTGAACGCATTGGGCCTGAACTGTCAGGTTGGGATTCGCCGTGTTTCGAGGCTTGCCACAGGTCACAAGTCCAAACCCTTGTTGAGGATTAACATTTGACTGTAGGATGTTTACCACTGGTGTAGACATGCCAAAAGAGTTTAGCTTGTGGAAACAGGAACAGAATTTGGGTTTACTTTGAGGAGAAGGGGGCTGGGCCCATCGTAGAGGTGTGATGACCCAACTCACCACGGAGGGTAAAGAGTTTGATTATAGAATGTGGAAGGGGCTTGACGACATTGAGCAGATGTTGCGCGGCCCAGCCTGCCGTCGGGCCGTGGCGAGCACTCAATTACGGTAGAGCCGAGGCCAGAGCGGCGAGGGGGCCCAGCGGGGTCGCAGCTTCAGGACAAGCAAATAATGCAGCCAGAAACCAGGGTCGAGTATATTTAGTTTGTAAATGAGTGGACTTCATTCACTGCATATTCACAGAAGCAGTCTGTGTGCTCAGTATGCTTTCTCAGCGAGCGGCACGATGTGCCGTAGTTCTGCTGTGGCGTGTGCAGTCTTATGGTAATTACTTTTAGATGTATTTATTTTAGAGTTTCTGTTTAATTGGAAAATGATCGGAAGCCTGTGAGTTCAAATCCCGGCCGTAGGTCGACTCTCCCTTCCCATTTGCCCTCTGCTCCAAAAAACCAAAGTCGTCCCTGGGCCAGAGCAAAGAATTGGTTCCACCTGAGGTAGCAAAACTTTAGACGTTCCGATGGATTTAAATGGCTAATGAGAGTAAATTAAATGGGTTATCACATAATGCACTGTTACTGGCCACAGAAATAAATGTTCCCAGTTAACTCATGTCACCTGATGTGGTACCGACAAGGGATATCTATCTGGTCTGGGCTCGTGGACTAAAGGACCTGCGCCAACTCCCCGTCAACATCCTCTCAAGAGGGTGGAACTCCCTTACTCTGGTCATCTCCACTGCTGACTCCCTTCCCCTGTCCAAGGCCAGTCTCAGGACTTTCCTCTGCAACTCCGCATGTGACTGGCTGTGTCTCTATGTACCATTACCATGCCTCCATCTGCTCTCACTTTCTGCCCTGTAGCTTCCGACCTCTCACTCTGTGACAATAACCTCGATAATCAATCCTTACTCTTTCCCTAGTTTCCAAGATGCTTGTCCCAGTTTCTAATGCAGCAACTTGAGATTCAGTTGCATGGAGACACTCGATAAACCCACTCTGGATTGCATTAATCCCCCCCCCCCCCGGGTCAATAAAATGAACAACAATCTGTTGGAAGTCGACTGTGGTTGCCCTGCAGATAGACTGGCGCCAAACAATGGAATGTGGAGTGTCCACCCCTGGCTCAGGCCCACTGATCGAACCGAATGCCGCTCCATGCTCATTCAAGCAGGCAGACACTGACACTTCTCTCCTGAGCACACCGAACGCGTGCGTAGCCCCCGCGGGAGGGGCAGTAAAATGACGTCTTTTGTTCGAACACAATCATAACAACTAAATTATTGCTCAGCTTTAGCAGCGGGGCTCATAGTTTGGAGGTTGATTCCCCGCCGATGTGTGCCGCGTGTGTAGCGAGGGCTCGTCCCGTCGTGGGGCTGCGCCTCATCGCTGTGGTTCGTGGTGCGAGGCTCCGCCGGCCCACGGCAGCCGAGCCACCGCCGCGCTCACGCGGGAGGCGTGCGCTCATAACGCGCGTGACAGTCGTATAAAGCCCCAAATTGAATAATGT